TATCTCTTCCAATTCTGGCACTGAATTTTTCTCTCTTTACTACAGATAAAAATACCAAAAAAAGAGACTGTAACAAAGGAAGTGGGAGGATTCCATGCTATAAAATGGTTGCGTTTTTCTGGGCTGGCCATATATGGACATTTATTGGTCTAAAGTGACTTCATCACTTGAGCAACATACAGTGATCCTCTCAGGACAGATTGGGACCACAAGGAATTCTCTGGAACGATAGGCACAGTCACGTTCTTAGAGACTTTCTGATCACTCCAAGATCTTGTTTTCTAAAAACAGTATCATATTAACATAAACCAAATGGTTAATTCCAGGGGAGGGACAGGAAAAGTGAACCTGGTACATCTTTGTATGCCAGGAAGTAAGGATGTGCTCAAAAGTTGATGGGAATATATCAAAAGAACAAGAAGTCAAGTTGAAAGATCTTCCTTTGCCCATAACTGGTAAATTTGCAAGATGAATAATGATAAGAAAGGATAAAAGTCCATTGATTTATAAAGAATCCATGAGTTCTTACTCATACAAATAAATTAGATAGATAAATAAGTAGATAGATAGATAGATAGATAGATAGATAGATAGATAGATAGATAGATGTGTCCTTACACATGCAGTGTGAAAGAAATAAAGCAAATGTGGTAAAATTTTGACAATTGGTGAATCTAGATGACAGGTATAGGAGTATTCACTTCTCTATTCTTGGAACTTTTATGTATGTTCCAGATTTAAAAACGTGAACATTTGAGGAGAAAATTAAATCCAGTGATTTTGTTCTTAAATGACTGTGAACTATGGGCTTCAAAAACTCTCTAGAAATGATAACATTTCTTCTCTCTGTAATGCCAAGAGATCCCAGAGATGTAATGATCATTGATCAATAAAATCTCACCCTGATCACCCACAAGTCCTTTCTGAATTTTAATTAACTCTTTCATACAGACAACCTTCCTGCTCCATTTTGCAAAAATGTTAAATTTTGCCATCTTTAATTCTGATAAATTATTTTGTTATGATGATTAGAAAATGCATAGTATGTATCTTAACTAATAAGTTTCTAATTCTATGCCCAGAGTTGATATGATAGAGGTGCTGAAAATGAGGTAAAAAATGTTGAATTCCAAATAACCAATAAATTTATTTTAATTTACATTGTCAACAAGCCTCCATCTATCATATGAATCACCATAATGGATTCCTATCTTCACACACAAAGACCTGTCTAGATTTTGCCTGCAGAGAAGCTGAGTCTGGTCAGTTAAATCTTCAGTCTTCATTGTGAAACACAGACACACACATATACTTCTTACAGATGCACTTAGGGTAAGTACCATTGAGATCTTCAGAAAGACAGTGATAGTTTTCTCTTCACTTGAATATACATGGTGAAGGGGACATACCTTACTAATCTCTGAAAGGTCCACAGAAAGGAAGATAGAAAGGATAATGAATAAAAGAAGGAGGAAGAGGGGAGGAAAAGAAGGAGAGAGAGGGCAAGGTGCAGAAGGAGAGAAGAAAAAGGTAAGAAACAGGAAAGAAGAAGAATCAAGACCTCACTTGTGTGATGGAGTCTGTTTCAAGAAATCAACATGTTCCAATAATATTTGCACACAAACTTGGCCCCAGGCATCCACAGTGGATATGTAGGAGGGGTGTGAAATACCTCTAAATGTGGTCTGCACGTTCTAGATGCCAAATGACGTTATGCAACGTTCGTCAACCTGGGGAGCACGAGCCAAGTGTCTAATGAAACCACACGGTATACCTGCAATATCTTCCAAAATTGAGATGAGAATATACTAGCTACTATTGAGCAGGAATCAAACTTGCCATGAAGTTTAAAATAAAACTGAATTAGCCAACGATTTGAAGTTACTTGAAGCTTCACCACCAGGGCATGCATTTATTTTCGTTGAATATAAGAGTCATTAAGAGAAAAATTAGAAGAGGCCAGCTCCATCTCCACCACTTTTGAGCAATCTGACAAAATATTTAATCTCTCTGAATCTGATTTCCCCTGCCTAAGACTTGGAGCTAATAATACTTATCACATACCAGTATTGTGAGAATTAAGTAAAATGAGGTAAGAACATATGACAAATGCATGCAAATGCTTGAAAGAATGTCTCTTATTCTCCCTCTTTCTCACTACAAATCAAGTCCCTGAGAGACCAACTAAAGGACATTGGCAAACCATTGGCAAACCTTAAACTTCGTCCCAGCCCCCTGGTCATTCATTCACGCATTTGTTCACTTATTTAACAAATATTTAGGGAGAATCTAATCCTAGGCCAGATTCTACAAATAGGATGACAAACCAAACAGACAAAATTACTGCCCTCTTGGACCTCAGAATGTAATTCCCTGCTCTATCCTCTAGCCATTCTCATCTCTTCTTTGATGAGTTCAGCAGAAGAAATCTTGGCTGTTCACATTTTCCTTTTCAGGATTACGTCTCCATTTCTCCCTTCTCTACATGAGATAAGGCAGTAGCTGAGACAACAAAAGTAAGTTATTTTGATGAAGCTGTGAGAATATGAGGCCATGCTGCCCCACTTGAATCCTGCTCATGGTAGGACCAGAGCCAGCCAATCACCAGCTGTCAGAGGTCCAGCTGAGTGCTAGGAGCCTCTGTGACTAAAGCAGTCCTTCCTGAATGTCTGCACTGAAACCATGAGACTCTTCAAAGCCAAAGCACCAGTAGCTAGCTGGGGTGCTTTTCAGACAAACATTGTTGAAATGATAAGGTACCTGGGCCTTAATAATGATGGTCATTTAAATGACATTTTTTTAAAAAAGCAAATAAAATCAAGTGAAGCCCAGGGAACTGAGAGAAAAACTAACAGACACAGGTAACTACATTCCTGAGCAAAACTTGAAAAATGTACAATAATAATAATGGCAGCTGTTACATCTTGAGTAATTACAGGTATTAGGCACTAGATTAGCTTCTTGCCATATTAACATAATTTGATCATTTCTACAAATTTATGAGTATAGTTTTTGTTCACCCCTTTTTATAGAATAAGAAAGCTGAAGTACAAGGATAATAAGCTGGTGCAAAAATACTCAGCTTAGATATTTCTGGCTCCAAAGTTTATGTTGTTTCTAGTATTATAAACATCCTCTGCCTCCAGCATAAAACCAGTACAAATATTTTAAAGGAATGGATAGCTATCTCTGTAGTCTACTTGATATCCAAGCAGGCACAGACAGGAAACTAACAATTACAGAACCCCTGCTATGCACCAAGTGTTGCCAATGGCAACACCAGAGGAGGGATGTGAAGGTCTTTAACTAACTCCCTCAACACACACACACACACTTCCCACCAGTGTGTCTGTGTTTTGTGATATGACAAAAAGACTTTATCTGAAGATTACCTAAATGTCAACCAACTCCCCTGGACAAGCCCCTTACTTGCCCCCAGCAAACTTCCAACCAGATTGTTGCCCTAAAAACTTTGCTTACAACGAAATTCTGGAGTTATCCTGAATCTATGTATTTAACCCACCAAATATACCAAATGTATATATGATGGACTTGTGAGACTCCCATATGGAAGTCATGGAAACTACTGAGGGTTTTTGTGTAAATACCACAGCACTTACGTTAATTTACTGTAATCCTGAGAATTGTACTTATTCTTTCCTTTTATAGATGGGAAAACTAAAGCCCAAAGAAGTAAGGTAATTTGCATGGTGTTCTATAGTTAATAAGCGGTAGAGCTGAAATAGTAACCCAGACCCATCTAGCTCCAAAATCCATGCTTTTTCTTTCTTTCTTTGGTGCCCTATTTTATATTTTCTTAAAAACCTTGCTTTAGCTAATTATAAAAATGACATGTATTCATTTGTAGAAATTCAGAAAATATCATAAAGAATAAGAAGAAAAAACTTCAATACTACTATAGTCCAAAGAGAACTAATGCCAACATTTTGGCATTTTTCCTTCCAATAATATACTATTCAGTATGTAGAATTTTATCAACTGATTTTTTTCACTTGTATTGCAAACATGAGATCATAACATTAAGAATTTTATAAAGCTTTGTTTTTAATATCCATATAATATTCAATACAGACATAATAATTGATCAGCCTTCTTCCTTATTGTTAGACATTTAGGGCAGTTCTGATTGTTAACAATTATTAATAGCACTAGAATAAAACATTTAGTACATAACTCTTGGCCTGAGTTACTACAGATTCACCTGGCACTGATTCCCAAATACGAGAAAGGGCTTTTTCTATTATTTCATGCTGCCTATTTTCTTCAAATTAATGTAAAATTCTCCTACCTCCCACCCCCACCACTCTGGAATGTCTCCTTCTTCCTCCTTTCTGAACCACTGAGCCAAGCTATTGTTACATGTATATGTCTAGACCCTAGGTTTGGAGGATAGAGTGGAAAGAGTTTGGGATTTGGAATCAGAAAATCTGAATTCATGGGCAAGTTTACTTCTCACCGGCCGGGTGACTCTGGCAGTTACCTGAGGTTTTCAGCCTATGTTTTCTCACCTGGAAAATGAGACTATAATAGCACCTTCCTGAAAACATCAATTTGAGAATTAAATCAGATAAATTATGTGACAAGGGCTGTGTAAATCATCATGTATTCTAGCAAATGTCAATTGCTATTACCTTTAGGCATATTGACAGATTTAGTCAGCTTTCAAAGGGAAGTAAAAGAGATAAACTGGTTTACTCTTGATTTTCTTTTTGGATAATGTTTTTAGAGAAATGTTTATAAGGACGTTTAAAAACCCTCACATGTTAAATTAACAAATCTAAATGTCTTCATTCACATGCAGGTCAGAGAGCTGCTGAACCCAAACCAGCAAGACACAGAGCAGGCGAGTCATGTGACCTAAGCCTAGCCCCTCCTCCCTGTGGCATGACACAGCATTCAGCCAACTGCCATTGGCCCCAGATCTTTACTAAGGGATATTTAATGATGAAGGAGGATGCTACTAAGAGATCAGCCAGGAGGGAGAGAAGTGAAGAGAGACAGGTGGTCCAATTGCCCAGGAGAAAAGGGGGCACAGCCTCCATCACAGCAGAAAAGATTCAGGACAGACAGAGAAGTTAGAGGCTGGGAAGTTGTTCACTCTCAGGTTTGTGAGGAGACAACTAAGCTAAAAAGTTTTCTGTGGAGGTATAACATGGCAATGGAATAAAAGGAGAGGAAAAGGGTCATTTTAATGTTCCAGTCAGAGGTGAGGATTAGAAATTTCAGGAGTCAACTCAGAAAGCCTTCAATGGAGGTGAAGTTTGAAGAAAAAAATGAGGGCAATGAGAGCCTTGTAGGAAATGGTCAGCCCTACCTGAGTCAGAAGCTGGGGAACTGGAAACCAGAGGCAAATGAGAAAGCCGAGCCTTCTGTAAAGCAGGAGGCAAATGGGAAGTGTTGTGACACGCCCAGAAAAATGCTCAACACCTACAGCTGGCAGGAGATCCAGAGTCACAAACAGAAGGCAGATCAGTGGCTGGTAATCAATCGCAAGGTCTATGATGTCACTGGCTGGGCCAACAGGCATCCAGGTGGGTCCCGGATCCTCAACCACTATGCCGGGGAAGATGCTACGGTAAGGAAATCAAAGCTCTGCCCTCTCTCTCTTCCAGCTGCTGTGTGGTTAGGACCTTGGTTCTCTTCCCAAGAGTATTTCGAGAACATGTTCAAGCTCCACAATCGCTCCTCTCCTCCCAAACCAATTTTTCAGGATTTCTGTCCAACAAGAATTTCAGTGCAAATTAAGCCTGAAGGTCTATCACCAGTGATGGACTCAGATATTGATGTTGGATACTATGTTTGTGTATTCTCAGTTTAGTTCTGTTCTTGGTGTTTTGTTTTGTTTTGAAGTGGAGTCACTGTTTTGTAAGAAGAAGTTTACCAATAGGTGAGTAAAATCCAGACAAATATGTCTGCACACAAGTGGAAATTTCTCAGACTCTTATAATTGGAGTGTCTAAAGCAAAGACAGAAGTTCATCTGTTAGGCATCAAAAGGTTGTTAATAACAATAATGAAAACCTAGAATTACATAGCCTTTTAGACTTTGTAGAGCTGTCTTGCGTCCTGCAGCTCACTCAGTGTAATGCAGATGAAGAAAATGAAATGAGAGACATTAAGTGGCTGGCCCAAGGTCACCCAGCAGAAGATCTAAGATTCAAAATTTATCTTTCTTAAATTTCAGTCTTTGCACTTTTCTTCACAGCTTCTTCTCATCACCCTCCCCCACCAAAACGGCTAAGAAAAAAAAAAACTATAGATTTATTGGATGCCTAGAATATCCTAGACACATTCAAATGATTCACCTCACTGTGGCCTCACCATGAGGATGGTGGTTATTATCCCATTTTACAGATGTGAAAATTAATGTTCAAAGAGGTAAATAGTGTGTCACACAGCGAGCAAGTAATAGTGCCAAATTTTGAAATCAGGTAGGTTTTTTGATCATAGAGCCTTTTATAGCTGAGTCCTTACCAAATTAAATTTCCATTTACTCTTTGATGGGGAGGTCTCTCAAACCCTTAATTCATTTAGGAATCTCTTTTACACTATTCTACAAGTAAGTTTGTTTTATCCCAGTTAGGAATTTTATTCTGCACATTGTACAGATAGAGAAACAGAGAATTAGAGGAGCTAAATAAATAACCCAAACTCAGAAAATAATAAGTGATCAGGCAGAAATTTAAACCTGGATTTCTTTTTAATTTGTTGCCTTTGTTGTTTTCACAGTGTAGTATACAAATTCCCCAGTTGGTTTCAAAGCATAGGATTGAAAACAGCGATTCACTAAGCACTACTCTATAAATGGTACCATGCTAATGATAGCAGAATAAACAATCACCTAGCAAATTTGCAAAGTAAGCAAGATTTTGTCTTTTGATGGTATCAACATCTTTTTTTCCGCAATTGCTCATCTCCTTTCTGAGCAGGATCTTCTTCTAACTTCCTGTCTTGATTCTTTAGTCAGATGTATTCCTTTATGAACATACCTTGCTACTTCCTCACCACTTATGTCAGATCTGATATTTTTTAAACAAAGTTCAACCTTTTGCTGGGAAAATGAGCATGAGATTGTAGCCAGTGATAGGAGTATTGTGTCTGTCAGGAAGATATTTTCTGTGTAGGAATCCAGAGAGCTGAGGGTAGAAGAAGCAAGGCGGAAAGCATTTGTGCAAAAGTAATAGGAGAGAGGGGCCGGCCCAGTTGTGCAGTGGTTAAGTTTTCAGGTTCTGCTTCGGTGGCCAGGGTTCACAGGTACAGAACGCGGGCATGGACTTGTATACCTCTCACCAAGACATGCTGAGTCAGCATCCCATCTAGAAAATAAAGGAAGATTGGCACAGATGTTAGCTCCAGGACAATCCTTCTGGCCAAAAAAAAATATTAAAAAACTAAAATAAAAGTAAAGAGTTTAAAAAGAGAGAGAAAAAAATACTACAGATTCCTATCTAGCCCATCCCGTCATTCCCACAACTTGGAAATAATGTGGATAATGCTTTCCTAACACAAGTCCGAGAATAAGTTCAGAGGATATGTTGGCAAAGACATGGCCCTTCAATAAACATGGAGAAAACTGATAGACTCACTCATCTTGAGGCAGCTCAGCTGATAAAACTGTAATTTCCTGATGACTTTCATCTCCCAGAACTTAGGAAAAGACCATGATTCTGCACCCAATTCTAGCCAACCAGGAGGAATTGATTAATAAAATAGAAATCACCAGAACCTTATGGAAAAACTATCCATGGCACTTTAGGATTCATATCTTTAGAATGAAAATTCTGAGCATGGTCAGCCATGTACCTTAGACTTTAAGGATATAAAGCCAAAAATGTTCATAGAAAATATGCTCCAAAGGAACATGGCTCAAGAAGAATGGGAAGGTGCCAGGAGAATTCTGACAAGCACCATACTCCAGGACTACTCAGAGTATGGCAAGCCTGAGATTTGGAATCAGTTATGTGAACCTGGGAAAATTATTGAAATGCTCTGAACCTCAGTTTCATCATCTGCTAAGTGTTAATGATGTTCCCCGTCTAACTGGTTTATGGTAAATAAGGCTAATGCTTATAAAGTGCTTAACATAATGTCAGACACTTAATAAAGTTTATTAAATTGTAATTATTATTATTCATATCACTGTCATGTGTAGCCTCAGGATGTGATATTTACTTCCTGTTTACTACCCCTCTTAAAAATCTGATTATATTTTGTATCATCTGATTTGGAACAGAGGGGTCCTTGAGGGGTAGAAGGCATCATGATCTCTACTTAAGGGGGGCAGAACATAAAGCCAGAGGACCTGAGGTCCAGTGCTTACTCTAGAACTTAAGAAGCGTTTACAGGTTGCACCTTGCAAGGCAAATATGGACCAAACTATGGACTCTGTGTGCCAGCCCTGGACCCATGGGTGCATCTGCCCAGAACGAGTACCCTTTTCTTATTTACACAGAAATAGTCTTCAATCCTCCATCCTCATCAAAGGTGAATAATGATACCTAAGTACTGTGTCCCATAGCATCATTAATTAATTCATTCATGTAGTCACCATTCTAAAATCCTTATTAGGTTTCCAGCCTTGTTAAGGATGAAGAGTAGAGGTTTGGGAATGAAACAGGACTGATTTGTATCTGGGCTCCATCACTAGGAATCTCCTGAGGAGGTTACTAAAGCTCTTGGAGCCTTGGCTCCTTTATCTGGAAAGTGGGAACAAGAATACCTTTATCTCAGTATTGTTATAAAAATCAGTGGAGATAAAATAAAGTGATCCCTTTGGTGCTTGGCACAGATTAAACACTGAAAAAATGCACCTCTTGTGTTTTATTATTAATTACTTCTCCTGAGGTTGGTGGTAATTTTCTCCAAAGACCATGCTGAGGAAAATAAGTTCATAAAACAAAATTGGCACATCAGCTCTTACTATTGCACATATGAGTTATCTGATCTTTTTCAAACTACATGATTTAAAGCTACCAGCCTAGAGCTAATAGAGCCTAGGCCAGGTCTTCCTACCTGGAATAGCTCAACTCAGAAAAGTCAGAAACAACCTATAAGACCAAGAACTGATTATATGGATCACAATATATCCACATGTTGGGCTATTTTGTAATTATTACAATGAGGATCACGAAGCATTTGATGACAGGAAATACGTATAAATAAATAGCCACAATAATTTTTTTTTGCTTCTTTCCCCAGAAATGCTTGAATTTAATCAAAGACTTTTTTAAGTGGGATATAATAACGTATACAAAACAGTTGCAGTTTTCTTAGAGAAATTTGGGCGCATGCGTTTCTTTTCCTTTAAGTCATTTTATTGAGGTAATGTTGACTTATAAAATTGTGTAAATTTCAGGTATACATTATTATATGTCAGTTTCCATGTAGACTGCATCACGTTCACCAGCAATGGATAAAGAAATAGATAGATAGTTACCAGAGGGCAAGAGGTGTGGGGAAGGGCAAAAGAGGTAAAGGAGCCCATACATAAACTAGCCGCAAGTTTTATATACAGGAATGGTGTGTTCCAGCCTCCCTGAAAGAGATAATTGCAGTCTTGTGATGTGTGTCCATGAGCTGCACGTTTGGAACAAAGGAAGCAGGTTTATGATCCTATGTGCTGATCAGCCCACACCTGTCTCTGGACACCACAGTGAAGGAGGGACACTAAGAAACTCAAGTTCTTTCTCATGACAGCCAAAGCTCAATATAATAGGGAAGGGAAGACAAAAACTTAGAGGAAATACAGCAAAGTCCATTTCAACTATTTGGAGGATTGCATTGTGAAGGAGGGTAGATTTGTGTACAGCTCCAAAAAAGAGAATTCCAAATTGCTTGAAATGAGTAAAACCAATAGAGGCAAGACTAGGGCAGTGGGAAGAGAGGATGTGTACAAAGGTGGAGTACACATATGATTTGTGTCATGAGTAAGCACACAGCCAAAGTGGGCATCTCAGCTTAGACACTTCCATAAAAGGAAGTTTATGGATGCCACTTTGTCTTAGCACAATATCAGCAAATAGTATGTCCTCAGTGAATGTCAGTGACTGTCATGGTGTGAGTATGAAAAGAGGAGAAGGAGGAGGAGAAGATGAACCGAGGGAAGAGGTGGGGGAAGAGTAAAGAGAAGGAGGGGAGGGAGGAAGTGTCTTGGTTGCTGAGCTAAGCAGTCTGCATTTTACCCTGACTGTATGTCTTCCTCTCCTTCAGCTACACATGACATTTCTCTAGCACAGCATCGCCCCCCCATCCACAATCATAACAACAAAATCCCCCAAGGTTTCTAGGCTGTTGATGAAAGGAAAGCTGTAAGTGCATCTCCTCTGGGTTGTCAAAATGCCTTAAATACTCTGATTCTTGTTTGAACAGTGGTTCAAACTGAAAAGTAGGTACAGCAGTAGAGAGAGAAGTACCAAAGGGCTAATAGGTGAAAGTGAGCCATGAGAAGACGCTGCCTTTCTGACAACGCAGCCTGGCAGTTAAGAGAAGAGTCATTCAAAATGAAGGAAGGAGTCCAGGGAACATGTTGAAGGCCTGAGGAAGGCATGTGCAACAGGAAGGGAGAAGATGGGATAAGTGCCAAGGATATCTAGGAGACATAAATTATAACAAATGATGAGGGAATGGATGAGTAAACAGGCTGGAGAAGTCTAAACAGACATGAATATCTGGCTTAGGTAACTTCACCATTCTAGTTAACCTTATTCACTCTAGGAGCACCTTCTTATGAATAGAGTTGTATATAATTCTTCTTATACCATTTGAAGATGGAGGACTCATTATGTTCACTAAGTCAGAACTCACTCTCCATTAGGCATTCAGGTTTAGGAGTAAAATCTCTGGATTGCTGTATTGAACAGATGGTAGGCAGTGAGTTCTTATCACTAGAGGTATAAATATAAGAAAGATAGCCATTATACAAGGAGAATTTACTATATGCAAATCAGATTCTAATTAAGTCACATAATCCTTACAATAACTTAATGAACAGAATTATTTTTATCATCACTCCCATGTTGGAGAAGACAAAATACAAGCAGGGACAGGGCAAGAGACTCATCCACCATTACAGAGCTAGTAAGTTGCCAAGCCAGATTTTAGATGTAGGAAGGCTGCGCCAGGTTACACTTTCTTAGTATTATGAAACACCAGCACTCCAGAGTAATGTCTGTGGCTTCCACGTACTCCAGTTACAACATTGGTCATATTTCATTTTTAATCACTACTGTCCCCAGTGCCATAATAGCAAGAACTCTAGCATCTTTCTCTTAGAGAATCAGCCTTCCCCCAAAGCCATTTAAATCCATAGGCTGGAAGAGAATTTCTCTTCCTTCCAAACATAAGCAGGAACCACTATATAGGAACCACTGCTGCTTCTCATAGGCACTTGTTGTTGCTACCTACCATGGGACCTGAGAGAGAAAAATCCTAAATGCAACAGAAATACATGGAAGAGTTGTAAACAACGGAATGAAATATAGTTGGTCAACTGTGTTCTGTGCCTGATTGTCACAAGACCCTGCAGAGACTGCCCTAGTGCTTTTTAGGAAGAGTGAGAAGACTCCTTCAATGACAAACTTAGCCAAGAATGTGCTATTTTGGACAACCCAGAGCTCAAGGGCTTTGCTCCTAGGCTCTCTTATGCATTTGTTTTAAGCTACCATCATCAAATTTAACCTTTCTTCAGAAAGAACTTAATTCAAGAGTCTCATTCCCCTGGGCCTTTGGCAAGACACAAGAGGGAGACTTTGGTGGGAGATATGATTTGCACAGACAGTCTTGGTTGCTGCATGCTTCAGATGGTGTAAGCAACTTCCACACCAACCATGATGTTGGACATTGAAGTTTCATCGTAGCCCATTAACTCAAGCCAACAATTTCTTCTGGGGCTCAATAAAATGAGCAGTGATCTCTTCTAACACTTGGGGATAACCTGGCTACGTTGGACTTGCCTAGTGAAGCAGTGAATTCAGTAGGTGGATCTCCACCATGAGGTTTTCAGAGAGGGTTTCCAAGGGTAACATTGATAAACTTGAAGCATCAATCTGGAGTGAGAAACAAATCCTCTATAACAGAGCTGGTATTGGTTTCGAAGTTGGGCAGAGGATGAGATAAGGAAGGGGACTAATTTGTGGATAAACAGGTCTCTTTTAAGCCTCTAACAATCCTCTCTGATTTACAGGATGTCTTCAGAGCCATGCACCCGCAGCTTGACGTTGTGCAGTTGTACCTTAAGCCCCTGTTCATCGGAGAGCTTGCCCCTGGAGAGCCCAGCCAGGAGAGAAACAAAAATGTGAGTGAGGTCTAAGGACTCAAGAGTATGGAGAGGATGGGGACAAAGTATATTTCAGGGCCAACTTATCGTTTTCTGTGAGAAATCAGTCAACATGCCAAGGTGGACCTACCATAGCATGAAGGAGTGGATTCTGCATGTATCAAAAACAATGTCCTCTTCCTTAAACCCTCAGAGCTCTTAAACCTCTGTAAAACAAAGGAATGGAATTTTTGGTTCCCAACCAAACAGTAACTGCAGGTCTCTAAGCATCTGCTTGATGTCAGGCAAATTAAGGCTGTATTTTTTCCCATGACTGCTTGTAATTATTTGTTGAATGTTTGTATCTATGTTTTCTGTGAAACGAAGGTCCATGAGAGCAGAGAATATGTCTATTTTGCTTATATCTGTCTTCAGCATCTATCGGCACAAAATCAGACATTCACTAAGAACTTTATAAATAGCCACTGAATGAAAGATGTGAGTATCTTATCTACAACCCTTTTTACATTTGAGAAATTATAGTTCTGGGGAAATAAATCACTCTATGAAATTCCCATAGCTGGTGTGTGAAAGAACTGAGACTCCAAGTCACTTATTTCTGGACCAATTCCTTAGATATTCCCAAGGCAGGGCACCACTCTTTCTTTGTCTAACACTTCGGCTACCTGATGTACTATCTTTCAAAGGAAAGGGTCACTAGAAGACTAAAAATTCCCTAGGATTGTTTTACATTAACCTTAAAGGGATTTTTATTAATATTGAACATTTCATTTTATAACAATGTGTTTTTCTGAATTAGCTTACATTTGTATAATTCTTGTAAAATAATTTTCACAAAGTGCTGATAATATATCACTGTGAGGCAGATAGAATAAAGATTATGTTTCTGCTGTAGAAAATGAGGAAACAAGCTCACAGAGGGACAGGAGGCATCTGAGGTCACAGAGCTGGTTAACTGCAGCCCTGAGAGGAACACTCAGGCTCTCTCCTTAGCTCCACATGCACCCCGTTCATCCCGCGAGGCTGTGTGTCAGGAAGCTCAGCTCTATGTTTAGAAGAGTGTGCTCTGTGAGTGGACAGCCTGGACTCACAACCCAGCTCAGTCACAAGTTGTGTGGGTTTAGGTCAGCTACCAGACCTCTCTGTGGTTCTGTTTCTCTGTCTATAAAATCGCAACAACAATAGCACCAAACTCACAAAAGCTATTGGGAGATTGTTGAAAGAGTTAAAGGCATTTAAAGCACAGGGTCTGGAACATAGAAAATGCTAAGCAGATTTTAGGTACTGTCAATAACATGAACTCAGTGGTGGTACTAGTTGTCGATAAACCTCTAGATATGTCCCCATCATTTAGGGCAGGTAGTCCTAGGTTAAGAATAGAAGAGGATGCAAAGCATAATTATTTTTCAAAAGAATTTTTTCTATGGAAAAGAAATCCCCACTAGTGGCTGAAAGCTATGAGATGATCATTCATTATCTAAAACAGTGTTGGACTCTGGGGCTAAAAGTCTACCATAAATTTTCTTTAATACATCTCTATTTACACAGATAGAAACATGTATATAGAGGGAAAATTACTGTTTGAGCATGCAACGCAGGGTCAGGAAGCATAAGTTTAACTCCAGGATCTGTCACTGACTTGTTGATAATTTTAGATCTGTCACTTTTCTGGGCTTTGGTGATCCCCTGCTGTGTACAATAAATGGGTTGGAAAAGATGACCAGGCTGAGAGGCACTCTAGACATGACATTATAATTATCGATGGCCATCAGAATTTCAAGGTTGATGGGGGCTTGAGAGATGAGCCCATCCAGACTTTTCCAAGGCAGAGGATCTTATTAAAGTTCCATCAGTAAATTTTGAAATAAAATTTTTGGCTTCTAGAATTATTTTCATAACTCTTTCTTTTTCTGTTTCAAATTTCTCACCTTTCTTACATCTGAAGAATCCTGCCCTCTTTCTTATACCCTGGTCACTTTCTCAACTGTCCTGACTTTAAACCCATTCTAGTCATTAAGCTAAGAGAGATTTCTTTTCAGCCTTGGCACTGACTCTCCGGTATAATGTGGCAAGCTTGTAAACAAATGCTAGCATTATACATACACACACATGCACATATGCACACTACATGACCACAGGACCAGGACCCCTCCAACCAGCAGACCAACATTACTTCCACTGGTGACCCTGTGTCTTGTTTCTGGAGATCCGTTGAGCAGTTCACGGGAAAGTCATCCTTCGAGCTAATCTAACTGAATTACATTTGTCTTGTTCATCATCTATGCAAGAGCCCTGTGCACATATCAACAGGAGATGACATTGAAAACGCTTGTAAACCATACCACTAACTACAGTAACACAGATCCATATAGAGAACAGAGTTCCCCAGAGCATAGCCAGAGATCACTCAACACCTGAAATAATACTGATGATTTTAAAGACAACTGTTAGACTTATGTATGTCTTTACTGACCAACCCCCATTCAGTAAAAGAAACTGATTCTAACAGAATTCTGTAACAGTTTGAGGACAGTTTACAAATCACTACTCATCTTTCTCTTCTCGAGAAAAAAAAAATTTATTATAACCCTGTGTGCGTGTGTGTGTGTGTGAGGAAGATTGGCTCTGAGCTAACATCTGTGAGCTCTATCTGTTTTTCAACTAATTTTATTGAGATCATACTGCTTTATAACAATGTGTAATTTGGGGTGTACACTGTTATTTATCAATTTCTGAGTAAACTTCATCGTGCTTGCCCCCAGTAGCCTGATTTTTGTCCATCACCCTACATATGTGCCCCTTTACCTTTTGCCCACTCCGAACCCCCTTTCCCTCTGATAACCACTAATTTGTTCTCTTTATCCTTGTATTTGTCTTCTACATATTGTTGAAATCATGCAATATTTGTCTTTCTCTGTGTGGCTTATTTCTCTTAATATCATAACCTGAATGTCCACCCATGTCGTTGCAAATGGGAAAATTTTTGTCTTTTTATGGCTGAGTAGCATTCCATTGTATATATATATACGCACCACATCTTCTTTATTCATTCGTCAGCAGATACGCACTTGGGCTGCTTCCATCTCTTCACTATTTTTAGTGCTGCAATGAACATAGGGCTGCATAAGTCTCTTTATGTTGTTGACTTCAAGTTCTTTGGATAAATACTCAGTAGGGGGATAGCTGGGTCATATGGTATTTGTATTTGTAATTTTTTGAGAAACCTCCTTACTGTTTTCCATACTGGCTGCACCAGTTTGCATTCCCACCAGCACTGTATGAAGGCTCCCTTTTCTCTACATCCTTTCCAACATTTGTTTCTTTTCGTCTTGGTAATGATAGCCATTCTGACCCATTTGAGGTGGTATCTTGTTGTAGTTTTGATTTGCATTACCCTAATATTTAGTGATGTTGAACATTGTTTCATGGGTCTGATGGCCATCTGTATATCGTCTTTGGAAAAATGTCTGTCCATATGCTCTGCCATTTTCTGGTTGAGTTGTTTGTTTTTTGATTGTTGCGTTCTATGAGCTCTTTATATATTTGGGAGATCAATCCTTTGTTGGATAAATGATTTGCAAATATCTTCTTCCAGTTGGTGGTTTTTTTTTTTTCATTTTGTTCATGGTTTCCTTTGCTTTGCCGAAGACTTTTAGTCTGATGTAATCACATTTGTTCACTCTTTTGTTTGCTTCACTTGCCCGAGTAGACATGGTATTCGAACAGATGTTGCTAGGACCAATGTCAACTTGGGTACTGCCTATATTTTCATCTAGGAGTTTTATGGTTTCAGGTCTTACATTCAAATCTTTAATCAATTTGAGTTAATTTTTGTGTTTTGTGCAAGATAATGGTCTACTTTCATTCTTTTGTAGGTGGCTGTCTAGTTTTCCCAACATTTATTGAAGAGACTTTCTATTCTATATTGTACGTTCTTGGCTCCTCTGTCAAAGATTAACTGCCCATACATATGTGGTTTTATTTCTGGGCTTTAAATTCTGTTTCCTTGATCTGTTTGTTTCTGTGCCAGCACGATGCTGTTTTGATTACTATAGCTTTGTATTATATTTTGAAATCAGGAACTGTGGTGCCTCCAGCTTTGCTGTTTTTGTCTCAAGATTGCTTTGCCTATTTGAGGTCTTTTGTTGCTCCATGTAAATTTTAGGATTGTTTGTCCTATTTCTGGTAAGAATGTCATTGGGATTCTGATTGGGATTGCAATGAATCTGTAGATTTCTTTAGAGTGTGAACATTTTAACTATGTTTATTATTCTGACCAACGAGCATGTGATATCTTTCCATTTCAATATATCTTCTTCAATTTCTTTCAATAATGTTCTCTAGTTTTGGCTGTACAGGTCTTTCACCTCTTTCACTAAGTTAGTTCTTAGATATTTTAATCTTTTTGCAATTTTAAATGGGATTGCGATATTTTATTCTGTTGCAATTGTAAATGGGATTGTATTCTTGATTTCTCTGTCTGGTAGATCATTGTTAGTGTATAGAAATGCATCGAGTCTTTTAAATTGATTTTGTATCCTACAAATTCGCTGTAGTTGTTGATTATTTCTAATAGTTTTCTGGTGGATTCTGTAGGTTTTTCTATAAATAGAATGATGTAATCTGCAAAGAGCAAGAATTTCAGTTCTTCCCTTCCAATTCTGATATCTTTTATTTCTTTTTCTTGCTTAATTCTTCTGGCCAAAATCTCCAGTACTATGTGGAATAGGAGTGGAGTGAGTGGGCACCCTTGTCTTGTTCCTATTCTCAAAGAGATGGCTTTCAATTTTTAAGCATTAAGTATGACATTCGCTGTGAGTTTCTCATATATGGCCTATATTATGTTGAGGTAATTTCCTTCTATACCCATTTAACTGAGAGTTTTTATCATAAATGGATGTTGGATTTTGTCAAAGGCATTCTTTGCATCTATTGAGATGATGATATGATTCTTATTCCTCATTTTGTTAATGAGGCGTATCACATTGATTGATTTGCATATTTTGAAACATCCCTGCGTCTTTAGAATAAATCCCACTTGATCATGGTGTACAATCCTTGTAATGTATTGCCATATTCAATTTGCCAACATTTTGTTAAGGATTTTTGCATCTAAGTTCATCGGCAACATTGACTTGTAGTTTTCCTTCATTGTGTCATCCTTGTCTAGTTTTGGTATCAGGGTAATTTCAATCTCATAGAATGAGTTAGGAAGCATTCCATCTTCTTCTGTGAAATACTTTGAGAAGGCTAGCTATTAAATCTTCTTTGAATGTTTGGTAGCATTCTCCAGAGAAGCCGTCTGGTCCTGGTCTTTGTTTTTTGGAAACTTTTGGATCACTGTTTCAATCTCTTTCCTCATGATTGATCTATTCAGATTCTCTATTTCTTCTTGATTCAGTTTTAAGTGGTTATATGAGTCTAGAAATTTATCCCTTTCTTCTGCGTTATTCAATTTGTGGGCATAAAGCTTTTCACAGTATTCTCTTATGATCCTTTGTATTTCTTTAGTACTGTTGTAATTACTTTTCTTTCATTTCACATTTTATTTATGTGAGGATTCTCTCTTTTTCTCTCGGTGAGTCTGGCAAAAGGTTTGTTTGAGTTCTCAAAGAACCAGCTCTTAGTTTCCTTAATTCAATTCTACTGTCTTTTAGTCTCTATTTCATTTATTTCTTCTCTGGTTTTCATTATTTGCCTTCTTCTGCTGACTTTGGGCTTAGTTTGTTCTTCTTTTTCTACTTCTATCAGGTGCATTTTAAGATGACTTACTTGGGATTTGTCTTTCTTGTTGAGGTGGCCCTGTATTGCTATAAATTTCCCTCTTATGGCAGACATTGCTGCATCCCGTAAGAGCTGGTATGTTGTATTTTCATTTTCATTTTCATTTTTATCCAGGTATTTTCTAGTTTGCTTCCACTTTGATTTCTTCCTTGATCCAATGGATGTTCATAGCATTTGTTTAGTGTCCACCTATTTCTGCCTTTCCCAGTTTGTTTCCTGTAGTTGATTTCTAGTTATATAGCATGATGCTGAGAAAAGATGGTTGGGATGATTTCAATCTTCTTAAATTCATTAAGGCTTGCCTTGTTTCCCAACATATGGGAGAATTATCTTCGAGAATGATCCATGTGCACTTGAGAGGAATGTGTTATCTGCGATTTTTGGATGGAAAGATTTGCATATATCTAAGTCCATTTTATCAAGTGTTTCATGTAAATCCACTATTTCCTCATGGTTTTTTGTCTGGATGTTCTGTCCATTGATGTAGTGGACTGTTGAGGTCCCCTACTACTATTGTGTTGCTGTTAATTTCCTCATGAAGTCTGTTAATAATTGCTTTATGTACTTTGGTACCCCTGTGTTGGGTGCATATATATTAACAAATGTTTTCTTCTCTTGGCAGAATGTCACTTTTATCATTATACACTGCCCCTCTTTGTCTCTCATTGTCTTTTTTAACTTGAAGTCTGCTTTGTCTGATAGAAATATGTCGACATCTACTTTCTGTTTTTTGCCATTTGCTTGGAGTACTGTCTTCCATCCCTCCACTCTGAGCCTATGCTTGTCTTCAGAGATGAAATGTGTTTCCTGGAGGCAGAATATTTTTGGGTGTGATTTTTTAATCATCCTGCTATTCTGTGTCTTTTGATTGGAGAATTCAATGTATTTACATTAGAGTGATTATTGATATATGAGGGCTTAATACTGCCATTTTATCCCCTGTTTTCTCATTTTTCTATGTTTCCTTTTTTTCTCTTCCTTTCTATTTCTGACTGCCATTTCATTTTTGTGGTTCTCTGAAGAGGTTTTCTCACTTTTCCCTCTTTTTATGAATTTTAGCTCTGCTCTGATTTTTTCTTTGGTGGTTACCACCAGGATTGTATAAACGATCTCATAGATGAGATCATCCATTTTCTCATATCCTCTTATCTCCATTAATCTAATCAACTTCTTTCCCTTTCCTCTCCCCTTCTGCATTATTGCTGTTACAAATTGTTCTGCTTTTAATGTTCTGAGTTTTTGAGACTAAGTTGAAGTGTTTATCCTTACTTTTGATGCCTACTTTCCATTTATCTCTTAACTTATAATGGAATCTTTGCCTCCCTGTTCTGATACAGGGCTGCAGTTTTATGATCATGTCTGTCTATTTGTCTCATTACTCAGAGCTTTGTAGACCTTTGCCTTTTTGTTACTGGAGTGAGGGCATCTTTAATTATTTCTTGTTGGTGAAGTCTAGTGGTGATGAAATCCCTCAGCTTTTGGCTATCTGGCAAAACTTTTATTTCTTCATCAGATCTGAAGGGAAGTTTTACTGGATAACGTATTCTTGGCTGAAAGATCTATCTTTCAGTATTTTGAATATAACATTCCATTCTCTCTTAGATTGTAGGGTTTCTTCTGAAATATCTGCTGAAAACTGGATAGGGTATCCTTTGAAGGTTGTTTTCTTTTGCCTTGCTAGACTCAATATTTTTCCTTTGTCATTGACTTTTGCCATTTTTAGTGTTATATGCCTTGCGGAAGGGCTTGTAGCATTGATGTAATTAGGCATTCTATTAGCTTCATGTATTTGTAAATCTGGAACCTTCCCCAGGTTTGAGAAGTGATGAGCTATTATTTCTTAGATCAAGCTCTCTGCTACTTTCTCCCACTCTTCTCCTCTGGAATACCTGTAATCATTATGTTTCTTTTCCTAATTGAGTCAGATATTTCTCAAAGAATGAGTTCTTTTATTTTAAATCTTAGTTCCACCTATCTCCTCCTCCACTTATAGAATTTCTATAATTGTTGTCTAAATCACTAATTCTTTCCTCCATACATCAGCTCTACTTCTTAAGGAATCTAGATTACTTCTTTTCTCATTAATTGTCTTTTTCATATCCAGAATTTCTGCTTGATCATTTTTTATACTTTCAATCTCTTTGTTGAAGAGGTTCATTTTATTCCTGAGCTCCTTGATCTGTCTTCTTGTGTTCTCTTGTAAATGGTTGGGTTTCTTTATGACAGCTATTTTGAATTCTCTGTCATTTAGGCTGTTAAATTCTGTGGCTTCAGGGTTGGTTTCTGGAGAATTGTCATTTTCTATCTGGTCTGAATTGTTGTTGCTTTTTCTAATGGTGTTTGATGAACTAATATTTATTTATTTATTTATTCATTCATTCATTCATTTTTGATGAAGTTTAGCCATGAGCTAATGCCTGTCTCCATCATCCTGTTTTAGCTGAGGAATCTTGGCCCTGAGAAAATGGCTTGCCCATCTTCCTCTATTTTATATGTAGGACACCTGCATCTGTATGGATTGATAAGAAGTACATAGGTCCGTGCCTGGGACCTGAACCAGTGAATCCCGGGCCGCAAATGCAGAGAACATGAGCTTAACCAGTACGCCACTGGGCTGACCTCTGAGCTAATCTTTTGTGATGGCATTTGTGGTAGTATTAGGTCACAGATTCCACCCGTTACCACTAAGGGGAAACAGGAGCAGAGTTTCTGGCCTGACCTCATCTGCTTGAAACTATGGGGGTTTTATAGATGCTTGCCTCAGGATGGGGTGTGTTCAGGCACTTGTGGGGACTATCTGTGGTGGGCAGGGCTTCATTTTTGGACAAAACTAGTACCACTCCTAGTGCCATGGGGGCATGCTGGGCTCTACCTCCCTGCCAGGAAAGCAATCACCAGTGGGCTAAGGGCTGCTGCTGCCTCTTCCTACAGCTACTCTGGGACACATTTCCTGTTTTGGGGCTCAGTGGCACCATGGGTACTCACATAAGCCTAGAATGTGCTTCCTCCAGCATGTGTTTCTGCTGCAGTCTCTGCTTGTGGTCCACAGGGCTGCTATGCTTGGTGGGCAGGGCTTCGTCCCTGGGACCAAGCTAGGGCCACTCTTTGGCACTTTAGGGGCCCAGTGGACTCCCCCTCCCTGTTGGTAAAGCAATCAGAAGTAGGCTAAGGGCTGCAACCATCTCGCCCCCTACAGTTGCCCCAGTGCATGTTCCCACTTTCAGAGCACTCATGCTGGGTTGGGAAGTGTCTGTGTGCATGCACAGGGCCACCAGGGGAGAGTAGGGAGTGCTCACCTTTCTCCACCACTCCCCATGGAGCCAGTCTATCCATGCTCAGATGTATAGCTGTGTGTCTCTGAGGCATCCTGCTGTGCTGTGTGAGCTTCCTCCATTGGTCAGCGAATCTCCGCTTACTTATAATTCAAAAGGGGGAGAGACAAAGGGAACATCTAACTCTGCCATGTTGTTGCAGTCATACCACATGAACTTAACAACTACACCCCCTGGCCAGCCACCACCACAACCTTTTTGAAGGGTCTCTTTGTTAATTGTCTTTTGTTTATACTTCTGCCAAATTAAATTTATTAATATTAATAAGTTTCTATTCACAAAATTAAGGCATTAGTAAGTTAATAAAATAGATTCTTAATTATGTTCATTTGTGTTCCTTCTCCCTTGAAGGCACTAATTCATTACTCAATGTGAATATTCATTTCACAGTCCCAGTTGGTGGAAGATTTCCAAGAATTGCGGAGGAAATTAGAGGATATGAATATGTTCAACGCCAATCTGGGGTTCTTTTTCCTTCACTTTGCCCAGATCTTGATTTTGGAAGCCCTGGCTTGGCTAATGCTGTGGCATTTTGGCAATGGCTGGTGTATTACAATATTCACTTCCTTTCTTCTCACAATTTCTCAGGTAAGCAAGCATCCTAAGCCCAGGCAATGGCTTCAGGGAAAAGCTTAGAATTTTTCTTCTGTCTTTAGATTGTTGTCAGCTGCTGCCTGGTACTTCCTAGCAACCTACTCATCAGCATCTCACACCAGCAAATTACCAAACCTCACCATCCCCCAGTTCTCTTGTCTGTAAAATGGCTATAGCAAATTATGTTATGGAAGTATGCTGAGGACAGCTAAACAAGATAATGTAGAAAATACCTAGTATGTGGTAAATATTTAATTCATGGCAGTTGCTACTCTTTGCTCAATTTGATCCACACATCTTCAGGAACTGCAGTTCTACTTTCAGCCATGTAACACTCAGCTTATATTTCATTCATTTAGCAACCAAGATTTATCAATTCATCAAACCATGAATTGTTCAAGAGCAAAGACATCTCATTATATAAGAATTAAGAATGTATAGATTTTGCCATAAAGGACAACCAGCAGCTGGCACATAGCAGGGTATTTGATAAATCCTTGTTGAATCAAATATGAATCTCTGAGCATGGACTTCTATGAACACAACACAGTGTTGTGGACATAAACCCCAATGCATGTGGTCCCTGCCCTTGGAAAATGAGTCATCCACTGGAGGAGACTGTCATTCAAATATCTAACATACTATATGACACAATGACATGGATGCCAAGGAGGGGAAAGAGCTTGTCCTATTGGAGAGGAAAGAGGCATTTAATTCTGATCGGAACAACTGTAGAAGGTTTTAAGAAGAAGTAACACCAATGTCAATTCCAGAATTTCATATGCTATTTGTCTTTGAAAAGCTAACTTCTCTTATTCCACGAAAAGCAACTTTTCAAATAAGAAAGGAAGCAAACATTTGTTTGGTGTTTAGCATAAGCCAGTCACTGTACACATGTTTAAGCCGCATAAAAGCTCCGTGAGTAAGATGTTATTATCCTCGCTTATCAATGAAGGATTAAGGTTCAAGCTACTAATAACTCACCAAGATTCGTGCAACTCATAAGTGGTGAAGAAGGTTTAGAACCCAAATCTGCCTGACTCCACAGGTCATGCTCTTTCCACTCCACACTGAAAGATTTTGACAGTGGCAGGAAGAGCATTCTCAGCTGGAGAACCATCTGTGCAAAAGCATGGAGGTGGGGAAGAATGTGACACGTGTGGGAAATAGAAAGTAAACTTAGCTTGAGCTCAGAGAAGCTCTCCCACTCTTTTTCTCAGACGGACTCCTGAATCTACTATCGTGCTAATTTATGAATTAGTTCTTGACTTCCCAATTTCTCTAACCACAATTTGGTCTCTTCTAGGCTCAGAGTGGATTTTTACAGCATGATGCAGGACACCTATCCATATTTAAAAAGTCCAATTGGAACCGCCTGATGCACAAATTTCTGATATGTCATCTCAAGGTATGAGATGTTCAGGAAGTATGATGGGATTCCTGAACATCATTTGCTAAGGCACAGGTTTCCAAGTTTCTTTGTTCGCTCATCTCAATAAAACTGTTTGTATAAGCCCACAAATAAAAGTAGATATATTAACAATGTATGTATTATATATACATATATTTACATATACTAATATGCAATATAACTTTGTAATATATATGCTAAAGTTAGAATTTTATAAGGATAACATTTATCTCTATTTAAGAAATTCTAATATTTTTCCTTATCCTAGTAAACTATTTGGTACCTCCTTAAGAATCCACCTTACAGGAGAAGGATTGTGACTTTACAAATGGAGATGTGCCTGTAAAATCATGAGAGGGAATATTCTTAGAAGGGGTCTGGACATTTATCGCTGGGAAGCTAGGGGATGCCAGAAAGCCTGATTAATTCCAGAAGGGTGGGACTATGAAGAAATAAAGGAAAAAATGCAAGAAAATAGATAAACCCTGAAGAGAAAGAGAAAAAATGGGCAAGAAATTACAGATGGCTCTGTTCAAGATTCTTGGGTTACCAAACCTAGACTGCTGAAAAAACTGCAGAAAACCAAGGTGGTGATGATGGCAGTTGGTTTTATCCCCCCAACATAGCTCCAGGAGGGGAAGCACACACTCCTATGCAATGCACACTGGGTGCAGCACCTGGCAGAGTGCCTGGCACATAGGAGGCCTTCAATAAGTATTTGCTGAATGAAGGAATGAATGAGTGAATGAAGAAAGAAACCTAGGTAACAGAACAGGATTGCTAAGAGTGGCTTCTAGCCCTGCCTCTGATAATGCTCATTATGTGACCTTGAGTAAGTCACATACTATCTCTGGCCCTCAGGGTTCCCATCTCTCACATTAGGAGCTAATATTGAGGAGTCATTCTGGCTCCTCCATTCTGGCTCTCATTTACAGTCATCTGAAGAGCTTTTAGAATACACTGCTTCCCAGGTACAGGTAACCTCTCTAGAGGTTCTGATTTAATTCATCTGTGGTGGGGTCTGGACGTCAGCACTGTATTGAAAGCTCTCCAGGTTGATTCTAACCTGCAGCCAGGATTAAGAACTGTGGCTCTAACATCAGACCTGCCTTCTGTAGGAACTCAGCCACTAGTTAGCTGGGTCACTTTGATCAAATTGCTTAATGTCTGTGAACCTCAGTTTCTTCAGTTGTAAAATGGAGATAGATGATGGCTTCAACCCGACAGGGATATTGTTAGGATTATATTTCATATACCTGTGTTGTGCTGAACACAAAGCATGACATATGGGAAATGCTCAATAACTTTCAGCTGTTAATAATACTAGGAATAATCTTTCCATAATCAAAATGGGGACCCAGAATAATTAAGAAAAATGTTAAATTGTTATGGTACTAAGAAGATAGGGAATTAGACTATAAATCATGGCATCATTAAATTGGAAAAATCTTAGAATCACCTAGTCTTCTTATATACTCTCATTCTGGTTGAGCAAACTGAGGCTTAAGTAGATTAGACAACACAGGGTTGGATCTAGATTCATATTAGAAATATGTCTGCCACTCAAAATGGTTAAAATGAATAATATATTGTCATTATATGTGACAAGCTTCATTTTACCAGAAAATTTATGTAGGCACACTATTCTGCCCTTTATCCACCAGTGTTGGATAGTTGAAGTGTTTCTGGATTCGCTCAAAAATCCTTATCACAGAAATAATGCAGAGATGGTTCCTTATGTCATCGTGAGATTCAGGTAATGGACACTTCCACCCTCTCTCCCCAATTCCAAAGACGTCAGAGGAAAAGTGAGACTCGTCTGCCCTGGAGTTGGTTTGTTGCCAGTGTATGGAATATTTCAGATCAGCCCCACTCTAGCTGATGCTTTTTTAAAAATCCCTGAGTGTATACACAACTTTAAGAGTCAGTGAGTGGTATGCACTTTGATAGAAGTTTGGAGTGTGGTGGGGCCCCAGAAGGAGGACTGGAAATAGTGTAGCACCTGTTGAGATTGAAATATCATGAGACATTCAAAAAGAAATGTTTGGAAAGTGACTGCCCATTAAAGCATAAACTTCAACAGAGTGACCTGGGACTGGAGAGAATAAGAGAGAGATTCCACCATAAGGGTATTAGAAAATCTTAGAGGTGAGATGAGAATACCACTCCTGATGGATTGGAGTAGGGGGGTGGGTGCTAAGAGAAGACACAATGAATACTATAGAAAGACAGCGCTTACAGATTTTCAAACATGCTCATCCCTCTCTACCATAGATGAATCAACCAACATAGTCCAACAGAAAAATAATGCCAACCACGTTTAAATGACTTGTCATTTTAAATTTTCCAGTAACCACATTTTAAAAGGTAACTTTATCATATATATATATATATATTCAAACATTATCTTTTCAACCTGTACTCAGTATATAAATTATTAATAAGACAATTTAAATTCCCTTTTCATCCAGAGTCCTCAAAATCTAGTGTGTATTATATACTTCCAGCCAATCTTAATTTGGTCACATTTCAAGTGCTCAATAGCCACATGTGATTAGGGGCTACTTTATTAGACAGGCAAATCTAAAACATGTGTAGGCCAGTTATTGAGAGATGTCAAATACTGAATAAAAACTACTGCTACTGCTTATTCTTCTATAAATGATTAACAACAGGAGAAATGAGAGGAACTTAAATATTGCAATGTGCCAACAATTTATGTACAGCCTCTCATGTCTCCCCAAATGACCCATGGATAAAAATGTCATTATACTGTATTTGCTGGAGATGAAATTGAACCTCAAAGAGGATGAGTGATTTGTCCAAACCACGGAGCAGTGTTTATCTGGTTTATGAAAGAGGTTGATGTGTTTCTAAATCCTGTGCTCTATTAAGGTCTGCAGACTTTCATTCAGAGAGAGAAAACCAGAAACGACCTCATCAGAGATGATGCAACCTTGGCATCAACTGTAATAATCTTACTCACATTTATTTTTATATGAGAGCATTGAAGCCTGTTCATTCAATGATCTGAGCCAAGACCCCCTACAAAATCATTTCAGATCTATAATTTTTTGAAATGTTCATTGAAGCAGGATTCTTCAAAAGGAAAGGCCAATTTTTTTCCACAGAACTAATTCAAGCCTTGGAGCCGAGGTTTCTTTATTTGTAAAATAGGAAGAATACTCTCCGCCCCATCTACCTTCAGACTTTTTTTTAAACGAGAATCAAAAAATAGACAGATGGAAAAACAATTTATTTCCACAAGTTTTTATGATTTTTTCATTATCAAGAGTTGTTTTAGCCTGAATCAGATGATTATTTGTCTGTAGGCTTTGAGAACTTCCAGTTAGTGAATCACCCTGTGACCTGGTTGTGGGGACAAATTTGAGAATCTCAAATCTCTTATTTTGACTTTGGAGATGCCTGAAGGAATCTGTGATAGTGAAGGATATTTCAGGAGAGAAATCTTGCAGCTAATAAACCCTCTCTTCTCCTCAGGCCATGTCGAGAAACTGGTGGAACAGTGGACACTGGCAGCATCATGTAAAAACGAACATCTACCACAAAGACCCAGATGTTAATTTACTACCACTATTTCTGGTTGGAGATTTGCAAGCTGTTGAGGTACATTTAGAAATCATGGGCACCAGAGAAATGTCCCTGGAAGTGGTTCTTGGAAAAGTCTTCAGCCTTGCTTTGGAAACATCAAGCTGGAAGTTCCAGCTTCAATCATAGTCTGAGGGCACCTCTCCTTTTGCATCCAGGTTACAAATTTGAAATAACTGAATCTGGGATTGTAAGAACAGGAGGACATGTGGAGTGTATGACTCTATGACCATAAAGGTCACCCAGTCCAACTTCCTGCAGTAGGAAATGTGATAACCATATCACTCTGCTTCAGCAATCCTGATGGCAGAGGGATCCCCGCTCAGTGCCTGTCACTACCTCTGGACAACCCAAGCTAATATTAGACAATTAAACTAGATGACTGAGGTTGACAATGACTCTTCAAAATTTAACAAACTTATAGAGACATTCATTAGAGAAGACCTGTCGGTATATTCAAAACTCACTAAATCACAAACAACTAAATAGCTAACTATCTCAACTAATTCCAGCTCAGCTAGAAGATACTATGCTGTTATTTTTAGTTAATGTTCATTTTGATTCATTTACACATGACCCACAGCCCAAGTGCCTTGTAAGACACTTAGAGCCCCCACCACTAATTTGTGCTTCTTAAACAACAGAAAACAAAAGGGAAAAGTCAGCTCCAGAAATTGTCACATGTTGATTATTTTCCCCAACTTAAAGTCATCATGTAAAGAACAATTGCTAAATTTCTTAGGAGGTAATCTTTTTTCAACAAAGGAGGTATAAGAACAGCCACAGAAGTCTCTCTCCTCAGGGAGAAATGGTAAATCTTGAGAATCAGGTACTTAGGAAGACAGTGTTATCCCTTTCTAGAAGAATTTAGGAGTTTTGTAAAAACAAAAGAGGATAGTTTTGTCAGTTGCTGCCCAAGTCCTGTGGTACATAAACCAAAAACTGTACAGCTTTTTGAAAATAGGTTTTCCCAGCTTTGGGGAACTCACCTTCTTCTGCAGCTGAATTAGGAAATGAATATACTGCCTAGACTGAAAAAGAAAATTCTGGCTGTTATCAAAAATCACTTGCTTTTGACCATGGCTCCACAAACAACTTGGACTGCTGTGATGTCTGTGGACTCCTATGCTCATCACAAAACTGTGTCGTTTTAATTTCTCTAGTCCTCCCCCCAGAGAAAGAGAAATTTGTCTCACCGAAGTTCATGAAGCAGCCTGACCCTCTCCAGAAGTGCCTTCTTTAGAGCCATATTCAATACGCCTGTTGCCTCTTCAAAAATGACGTAGGCCACCTCTCCAAGTTTTACAGCTGCTCTTGGGACTTATGCCTTGAAACATAGAGTTCTGTACATTATAGTGTCAAAGCTACCATACAAGATATTGCTTAAAATTATTTAAACTCTAAAATTCAGTTACTTCACATCAAAAAATAGTTCTGAAGAGACTTGAACTTATCCTTTCTTCTCATTTTACTGTGAATCTTTCTACCACTATTTCCAAACATTCAGTCCTTCAACAAGGATGAATTAAATCTTCAATGTGTCAGGTCATGTGCACTGGAAAGACATAGAGTCCTCCTTTGGAATGATATTCACAACCAGTCTTCACCTAGGTTCACTAACTCCCAAGCATTTTCTACCTATTCTTTCTTCCATGCTTCACACTACTTAAATGTTTGAAAGTTTGAGAGTAACTGAAAATAGCTATTATTACTTCATCACCATGATATTTCTTTTTATTTCTCCAATAAGAGAAGGGTGGAAAAAGTCCACTATCCAGAAGAGAGGAAATCTATATGTAGAAGTGAACTTATCAAGGAAATGAGGAAAGCAAGAGTCAAACACAGCCCACGGAGTTATAACTAAGTGAACACACAGCAAAAATACAGAGTGAATGCGAATTATCATTTATTCATTCATTCCTTTAATTAAACATTCATTGAGTCTGCTAGTTCCTGGAGTTATAACCATTACTTCTCCACCTGCTCTCAGGGTATTTGCTGTCTTGTGCACTAAAAGACTAAATTAACTGAGGAGACCCCAAGAAAATGAATCAAATTCCCTGTCATGAGATTATATATAATATCATAATGTCTTAGAAATAGAAAATCACCGCATGAGATCCATGATGATAATGATGGCACAAAGGAGGAAAGATGAGATAAATAGGAGGGGCCATGTCTATATCTTTCCTCGCATGACCATTCATTAAATATCTGTTGAAAGAATAAATATAGATGGAAACTGAGCTTCAAGCAGAATTCTATACACCACAGTTAAAGAAGAGCTGGGAAAACTCATCACAAATGTTCTTCTCAATCACCACTTCACTCCACATAAGTAACAAATTTTCACAATGGAATCGATGGGAATAAAAAAAAAAATGATCGCAATCTCCATGGTCAATTTTAATAAACCATCCATGCAAGATTTGCCCACATTTAATTAAAGCAAAAAGATGCCAAAAAATGTCATCTCATTCCAGTCTGGTCTTCTAGTGCCTCTAATTTGACTGCTGGTGAACTTTGATTGGATAGCTCTTTCCATAGAGATTTTAAACACTCACATACACACTCATTCACACACGCAGATGTCTTTGATGTAGTGGCCAGAAGTATTGTCTTTTACCTAAATTTTTTTCTCTCTCCATTCAGTGTGGCAAGAAGAAAATTAAATACATCAATTATGAGAAGCAGCACCTGTACTTCTACATGGGTGAGTCTCCTTGCAGCCACATTTCTTCATCCCATTTCCTTGAGGCAAGCTGTTGTCAAGGCAGAAGGCAGACTGGAACCCTCCGTGTCTTATTTTAACTGGAAAAAGCTGCATGTCTTCTTTCAGACTTTCTGGGGTGAAAATCTGAAAAGGAAAATGGAAGAGCAAATAAGAATTTTTAATACTCATCTCATCACTCTGGGTATAAGGCAGGGAAGGAGATGATCCAAGAAGGATGGAAGGCAGGATGCCAATCAAGGGGCTTTGCATCTGGGACTCTCATCATGGATAGACTAAACACCTGTCAAGAACAAAAGAATAGAAATATTTGAATCAGGAGGAAAGACAGATAGGAAAATAATGCCAAAGCATTGAAAGGATGATGCCAGAAAAAGTAGAGGAATGATAATAAAAGACACACGTAGATGTTCTGTGTGAAAGAAAGCTGGCTCTTCCCAGAGCTTACACACAGCTGTAGAAGATATCCTGGTGGACAGTTATGTATATATATATTTCTAATATACATATATGTACCTGTTATATATCTATATCTATCTACTGATCAATTGATCAATACATAGATAGGCATACATATAGATTTATATAATAGGTCTGAATGTGGTGCAGATGTAAAAGAAAGCAGGGTAGCTGAATGATGCTGGTACCAATAAAAAACCTCGAGGGTATTATGTTAAGCGAAATAAGCCAGTCAGAGAAAGACGAACTCTATATGACTCCACTCATAGGTGGAAGTTAACATATTGACAAGGAGATCTGATCGGTGGTTACCAGGGAAAAGGGGAGGTGGGGGGAGGGCACAAAGGGGGAAGAGGTGTACCCACAACATGACTAACAATAATGTACAACTGAAATCTCACAAGGTTGTAATCTATCATAACATTAATAAAAAAAGCAAAAAACATCAGCAACAAAAATACTTTGCTCTTAATCAAAATCAAATTCATAACAGCTCACAAAGAAAGGTTTCATAGAACTCCAAAATATGCTCATCTAAAACGTTTGAGAAATAAGCCCCAATCAGGGACAGTCCCACACATTTCCTGTAGATCAGTGGTTCTTGACCAGGAGCAATGTTAACCGAATGGAATATCTGAAAATGTCTGGAGAAATTTTTGGTTATTAAAATGGAGAGGGAGGAATGATAATGGCATCCAGGGGCCAGAAAGCCAGGGACACTGTTATGTAATACAGAGGACAAACCCTAACAATAAAGAATTATCTCACCCCAAATGCCCACAGTGGTAAAGCTGGGAAAGTCTGTTGCAGATGATCTGATTTGCCCAGATGTTGGTTGCCAGTAGTCATCTGTAACATACCTTATCAGAGTGGCCTGTAGGGTCATATTTTGTGATATGGGAGCAGCTTCCACTGCTGCCCCTGCTTTAATTGGGCAGCCCTACCTATGGTAGCCACCTGCTCCTTTTGTTGCATGACCAAAATGAGGAAAGAGGACACTGGTGCTCCATTTTGAAAAGCAGCTGACCCCCAGACTAACTAGATGTGTGTTCACATAAGAAAAAAGCAGTTGGAGTTTCTTTTCTGAACTCACCTCCCATGTCTATAGTTCTACAATATGCCCTCAGCTTATGAAGAATGAATGAATGGTGTGGATTCACTGCAGAATGCCCACCTCACAAACCACACTACTCTCAGGAACTCTTTCACTGTGCCCTTTCTCTTCAAATGCCAACTTAGCAACTTGGGTACAAATGAGTCATACTCAAACTGTCAAAGAAAAACAGAGGTGGGCATTTGTTAAAGGTGGCACTACAGACTTTATTCAAGCTATTGCAATAGGAAAGAGAGGCTTCCTTATAAGCTGAGCTCAACTCTGGTGAAACAAAAAGAGGGAGACTTTAAACGCTGGGGCGTGCTAAAGGAAATTACTGAAAGACATTGAAGGGAAGGGAAGCTGGTCAACATGATTAGGAAATCTGTGTTCGGCTCTTACCCTCCCACAGAGACATGGATGAACGGCCCTATCTTTCCTGATGATTATATTTCAAAAGGATGACTCCCAGGTCCTCGAGAAAGATATCTCTGTATTATAGAAGATACATCTCAAAGGGGCATAAAAAAGGTTTATAATTGTAAGTTTTCTAACAGAAATGCTCTAGAAAAGGGAGGTCAGAGACCCATAGTCATGTTTTGGCTTGAAGAAACAGTACCTTCTGTTGACAGTGTTGAACTTTCTCAGGCAAGGACTTTAAGGGGACTGGGGTCACCCCAGAGATGTGGCTTTGAACTGTTAGACACTGTGTTAGTGTTGTTCAAATATCTTAATGTGGAGAGTGGATGAAATAATTTGTATTGAGGGTTTGCAGAGTTTGAGAGCTTGCAGACCAATGCTGAGGCCTAGGCAAGAAGAGGATTCAGACGACTGGACTAAAGTTTGGTCAAGGAGAGGGTCTGTCAAAACCAAAGGGTCTGCATAAGATGACTTTGTGCTCTAGGCAGCCTCATCGGTGCTAGGAGAGACGCAAGTACATAACCCTCTACCCAGGCAATGAGTAAACCTTCTTTATTTCTGCCACGCAGACATATTGTTACTGGGCTGAATCCTAAACATTGTGAAGGACTGAAGAGAAAACTTGAAAGCTCATAGCAGAAGTTCTTCCAGGATCCAGCATTCCATCAAGAATGACTCAAATCTTCAAAGCTTCACTAGTCTCCTTGAGGGAGCTTGTACCAAATTCCTAGTTCACTCTCAGAGACTCAAAAAACCCAGTGGAGTCTAGGGTGTGGTCGTGGATATCCACCTTGCATTCTTTCTCAGGGACAACATATCCAGGGGTGGCATATGAAAAAGATAGACTCCTGCTCAATTGAGGTCATAATCTGCTCATTTATTCTCCATCTTTTCTTTTATTCTTTTCCAGTTCTTCCCTTCACCATGCCTATATATTCCCACTTCCTAACCATGTGGCAGATAGTCCGGCAAAGGTGTTGGGAGGTGAGTAACTTGACTCATTCTCAGAAGCAACATCAGGTAGAAAATGGGAAATGAAAATGCTTGGCCCCTGCCAGACAGATCCTTGAGTAATGAGACATAAGATTTAGCCAGTATGTGAAGGGACCCTAACCCATTGAAAGGGAATTGAAATTGTGTTCAGAGCATCTAACTTTTGAGCACTTCTTTCTGCAGGATGTGGCCTGGATCAGCACTTTTTACATCCGCTTTTTCATCACATTTGGCCCTTTCTATGGCATCTTTGGAACCGTGTGCCTCATCTATTTGGTCAAGTAAGAAAGCAAGAATATCCTCTTATTCCCATAACCTGGATGGTCCTCTTACCATCCTTGTCTAATCACTTTGTGATTTGAAGAAGATTATGACACTATGCCCCATTCCTTATAACTGCAACGTTTCCAAGAAAATGTGAAAAAAAATTGGTTAAAATATTTTAATATGAAGAGATCCCTGGGAATAAAATTACCCAGTCTTCTCTTTTCTTCCCCACTTTCTCCATTCACAATTTCAGTATTCCATCTAATCCCAAATCCTTTAAAATTATAATCCAGTTGGCCTTCATAATCCTTCCCAAAGTTAATGGAAGGAGAGGAATTTTTTAAAATTACTTTATGACTGGAGAATTTCCCAAAACCAAAGTCAGAGAGATTAAATCCCTTTCTCGAGTTTATAGAACCAGTAAGGGCCACTGGCAGTGCCAAACCAGACATTGGAGCCAGCTCTAACTGATGACAAAATTTAGGCTGTCAATCACTTTGTATATTCAGTTAAGTTCTCTAGATATCCTTTGATCCTGCACCAATGTTTACAGCAAATTATTGAGTACTGCTCCCATACATTAGACAGTATGACAGGTTATGTGACCAAATGCTTAAAGTGTCATCTCTAGATATAGAGGGAAACAAATGACCCCCATTCTTTGGGAACTGTTGAGTCTCTTCCATTTCCTCCAATGCTCTGCTAGCTCTTGCAGCCTGGTGATTACCAAAGCACGCCTTAGAGTCATCACTTCCCCTTTTATTCTCTGAAAGGTCTCTTGAAAGTCCCTGGATAACATATGTCACCCAGATGAGCCACCTGTCAATGCAAATGAGCAGAGAAGAGAATCGGGACTGGGTCAGCACTCAGGTAATAATGGAGATCCTGGGAGAGGATACTTCAACCAGACTGATTAAGAGTGTTGTTACCTCAAATAATAATAATTCAGAGTCTGGGCAGGTGGCATAGTGGTTGAGTTTGCATGTTCCACTTTGGTGGTCTGGATTTCTTGGGTTCAGATCCTGGGTACAAACCTACACAGGGCTCATACAGCCATGCTGTTGCAGCCTCCCACATACAATATAGAGGAGGATTGACACAGATGTTAGCTCAGGGAGAATCTTCCTCAAACAAAAAGAGCAAGATTGGCAACAGAGGTTAACTCAGGGCCAATCTTCTTCACATCCACCCAAAGAATTAATCATAATCATAATCATAATCATAATTCATATTTATCAAAATGCTTGACAAGGGCCTGGCACTGTCTACTTCTTTCTATGCAACTACATGAGGCAGATGTTATGATTATTTCCATTTCATTGATGAGAAAATTGAGGCATGAAGAAGTTGAGTAACTTGCATAAAGTCACACAGCTAGTGAGTGGTAGAAGCATGTCCTAAACCTTTGCAGTTGGATTTCAGAGCTCTTGCATGCAACCAAAGTTCAATAAATTTCATTCCAAGGGCCAAATCCTCACTGCCTATTTTCATAAGTAAAGTTTTATTGGAACACAGCCATGCTTATTCATTTATATATTATCTATGACTGATTTCATGCAATGACAGCAGAATTGAGTAGCTGTGAAAAAGAATTAAAACATTTTCTGTCTGGCACTTTGTAGAAAATTTTACTGACCCCTGCTTTAAACCTTCACATGACAAAGCCTGTCAAGTGAATTTGAGATTCCTACAATTACAGAATGAATTTTTCACCTAGGAAGACCCTAGAATTCACCTCATTTCATTGTATAGGGAGAGAGGCCCAGAGAGAATACATGACATGCTCTACAAGCCTGCCAGTAATGATTAACAGAGTTGTGATCAAAGCAGAACAACCCTGCCTCCTAAGCCTTTCATTACCATGCCATGATTAACTCCAGAATCCAGCCAATATGCTGCTTCCTCCTCCAAGCTCATGTCCAAACTCAAGGCACCTTCCATGAAGTAAAGAATAGTGGTTCTCAAACCTTTGGTCACAGAACAACTTTACATTCTTAAAAGTTACTGAGAACGTCAAAGAGCTTTGGTTTTCATAGGTTATATCCATTGATATTTACTGTATTTGAAAATAAAATGGAGAAATATTAAAATATTAAGTTTAAAATAACAAGAATAAAACCAATGCATGTAAACATCAGATTCATGATGCCATTCCATGTTTAGCAAGCTCTGGAAAAATCCATCATACGTGGAGAGAATGAGAACGCAAAAGGCAAAAAGTATCTTAGAAGAATTACAGGAATAGTTTTGAGACGGCAGATCCCCTGAAAGAATCCTAGGGAACCCCAAGTTCTTCTGAAGTATACTTTGAGAAACACTGAAATAGAACAAACAGAAAAATTGCATTCAAAATGACAACAACCCCAACTGGAATTAAACATTAGAAAGGCATTGAATCAAATGACATTCCTGAGGGTTCTTAATCTTGGCAGTCTGGAGAAGCCTATGAATTCCTTCTCAGAACAATGTTTTTAAAATACATAAAATAAAATGCATTAGACTAAAAAGGAAGCCACTTATATTGGAATGCACAGAACTATTGAATGCCTTACTCCTCATTTAGAAGTCATTAAGTCCACGTAATGGAAATGGTATTCTAACACCTACAATCTGTACCAGAACCTTACAATCCCACTTCCAACTTCCAAAGTCTTCATGAATGACACTTCTGTCTTCTGTATCCAAGGGCTGATAGTAACTTTTAGCCCCTTCACATCCTACATATGTTTTCATATCTATTGCCTTGTATATAGTTCTTAGCAAAATATCTTATTAATTTGTTAAATTGTAAGCTCCTTGAGACCTAGGACTGTGTATATCTTTTATCCCTCGTAGTTTCTTACACAAAATAGGTACTCAATAAGCACTTGTTGACTGAATAAAAGAATAAATAAACATTTTCTTTGTTTGACCTTTGGACTCATTTACATCTAATGTAATCTTTTTCTTTGCAGGTCTTGGCAAGCTGTAATGTGGAACAGTCCTTTTTCAACGACTGGTTCACAGGGCACCTGAACTTCCAAATTGAGCACCAGTGAGTGATAGGAAGAGTGATAATAGTGATCAGAGGGGCAAGGGCTATCACTTATAACATCACCCCCATACAGTTCAGAGCAGAGCCCTAGGCTCGAGATACCAGAAGGAAAATATGAACCAGAATTCTCTAAAGGCTGCTATATTTCTATTAACATCAACTGTAAGGAAGGGAAGAAATAAAAGATGGACATATAATAATTTTGAGTAAATAGAGTGAAATCTAGAGTGAAAGTACCAGCGCCTGAATCACAGATTCCTATGGACTTAGGAATTGGTGATTCTTTTCTTTGCATTTGGCTAGCTGGGAAAGCCCATGAAAAATCACACCACTTGGATAAAAAGTTGTGTTAAACTGAATTACAAATTAATTTAATTATCTGTCTATATCTATATCTTTACAGCCAAGGTTACAAAATAATCCATGAGAGAATCCAATCCCTCCTGCAATTTCCAAATCGTACCTGGAAATACTTTACCAATGGGTCAGTTAGGTAGACATGTGCCAAAGAAAGAGAAAATGATAATTCTTTGAGAGTCAGTCAATCTAGAATATTCAGGGGAGGGACTTTCCAGATCCTCTCTGTCTAAGCCATATCTGTGATAGAGAAGGAAAGAGATCTTATGTCTATGCATGATATGTTCTCATCCTTGCTCTCATGTTAGTCTTTTAAAATTCCAGCAACCAAAGAAAGGATTATTATTCCTATTTTACTGAGAGGGAGGTTAAAACCATAGAAGGTCATCTGGTGATTAGTGAAAACTTTGGGTAAAATCCCACCTCTCCTCACTTCTTACACCTGTCTTAGGACTTTTCTCCACATATCATGACTAGAGCTTATTGAATCCTATTTTCTTGATACAGTAGTTATATGGATAGAGAGAAACAGAGATGGAGATGGAGGGTGGTTATCTCTAATTCTCTAGGTCATTCAAATGGTAGAAAACCCCATGCTTCCATTTGCCCTGGCCAAATAGAAATAATTTCAATGGAGCTAATAGTTATTTTCTTAGCTCTTCCTAAACATTTGCCACCCACCGGGCTCACAGAGGGTTAAGAGATAAAATGACCGTGTTTTGCGAAGACTTTTTGAACATCCCAGAACAGAAGTATTGTGCAAGGTCAAGGTTGTGTCTGTATTGCAGATATAATTTTATTTAGTAATAGGAAAAGGACGCCACTCCTTCGAGTCTCTCTTTAGGTCCAAGTATTTTATCTCTCATCTCTGTTTCCCTAGTCTATTCCCCACAATGCCGCGCCATAATTATCACAAGGTGGCACCTCTGGTGAGGTCACTGTGTGCCAAGCATGGACTGCAATATGTGAACAAGCCCATGTTGAAGGCGTTTGGAGATATTGTCAGGTAATAAAAGAGTCTCTCTCAACTCAAAGCTCTCATTTCCTTCACTGCCAGTCCCCAGTAAATTTCCTAACTAGAGATTCATTCATGCAACAACCATTCATTAAGGTGCACCTGTGAATGCCCACTATGGATATGAGTCTCTACAGGGCACAACATCAACACCAGTAATGATATCATAATTCCTACTGTTACCTACTGCTTTCTAGGTACTTCCTAGTGAAAATGCCCTGCTGCCCTACTAAACTTCAAGTTTCTTAAAATCAAGGCTGCATATTATTTGTCTTTCTATCTCCTGCTGAACCTCTACCTGCTTTAGACATGAGTGGTGGAAGGGACAGTGAAATCCTCTGGTCCAGGGTTGCAAACGTAGATGCCTGCAGGGTTTGGTGGGACATAAGTGTGTGAATGAGGAGGAGGTGACTTATCCACTATATACTGACTCCAGGGGTGACTAACCAAGGGTGGTGAGACCTGGAGAAACTGGAAACCCATCCTCATCCTGAAGCATTCACAGTTCCCTAGAGAACATTGTGCTGGTCAAATTAACAGCCAGTGATCTGGGTTTAATAACTGTCTCTTTCTTTCAGGATTGAAAACAAAACAAAACATCATTTTGAATGATGCCAACAAGGCCAGGCCCAGTCTGATCTGATCCCTAACTAATGCTCTAGTTTCAGACTCTCTAACACTGCCTTCCTTCTCTTCTGCCCTCCAGATATCCAGTTTCCCTTCAGTTGCTGCATAACTCTTTGCTCTGTGCCATTTTATTTCTTTTGCCACCTTGTCTTCTGCTTAGAGGGTTCCTCCAACTCAGCCCCTCCCTTGAGTTCACCTAGTCAATTTGTGTTGACTCTCCAAGGCTCAAGTCAAATGCCTTTTCCTCATCTCAATCTTCCCTGACCCTAACACTAATACCATCACATGCTCTTGCAGCACCTGGATCTCTTCATTCATGACCTTTATCACAGTTGTGATTAAATAACATATTGGTTAATAAATTATTTAAGATGTATCTCCCAATCAAGACCGGGGACTCCATGTGGAGACAAGTCACTTCTGTCCTAGTCATTGCTGTAGCCCCAGTACCAAGAAAAATATTTTTCACAGTATAAAATAGCATGGGTAGGTGGATATAGAGTGGGGTGATTTACAAGTATCTGCTTTATCTTATAATGACTCAGAGAAGCCCTTTTATTGTAAATAGTAGAGAAAAGGATAGGTGAGGTCTTGGGTACATAAGAAAATAAGTGGAGGAAAAGCTCAATCTCATCCATAAAGGAAAGTTGAAATCAACTGCTAAAAACCAATTCAGTGCATATGACTTCCTCCACTGGGAAACAGAAAAAGACGTTTTGCAGATATAGTTGAAAATGACAACATTGCCCTGAACCAGGTAAAAGAACCGATGTTCTGTGGAGTAGCTCCTTTATATTAGAGTCTCACCTTCTGGTGATTTTGTTTCCCCCTCCCACAGGGCACTGAAGAAATCTGGAGCCCTCTGGAAGGATGCTTACTACAAAACAGGGAAACATGATGAAGAATCTCAGACTTAATATGCACGCAATTGCATCTCTGAAGGGGGTTGGTGAATGTGCAAGAGTTCTTTCCTCTTTAACTGTGAGCACCATTGGCATACCTGAGTGTGCCAGGAGTGTGAGTTCCAAGAACACATGGTTACCTCCTTCCCCGAAGATTTTCTCAGCAAATAAGAAGCAGAGGAAACACAAAATGGCTTTGGTCAGGGTGACAAAAGGGAGATAGGAGGCAATGTTTTCACTTTTTCAAAAGGATCTTGAACTTATTTCTACCAGTATGCCTTAGTCAGATTATGTTGGTCACCCGGCATGAATTGAGGGACCAGGCAAAAGCTTTACTGATGAAGAAGGCATAGGCCAAAGTGGGCCAGAGCAGAGACCTCTAATGGGGTACTTTGGAGAACAGTGCAACTGCGTTTAGAAGAGAGTCATGTATTCAAGAAGTTCCTACTGAAGCACAAATTTTTGCTTATTCCTCTTTCAAATGTGTCAACTTCATTTTCATTCAAAATTAACTATAATTATCATTAAAGCCTCTTAATATTTCAATATTCACCTTAGATTTTCATTATTGTACATGGCTATGCATAACAAATGTGTATAGTTACATATTTGCTGTCCAAGTTATAAAATCTCTTAAAGGAGCTTTCCACATCCAGGCACAATAGCAACTGTTCAAGCAGGTCGAGTTTCAATATTTAAAGGTGACTAGTGTTCTGCTAAAGAATAGACTGTTCCTGAGTGTAAGATTTGTTTGCCTAATCTCTACTGACCAGAGCAGAAATATGGTACCTCATTATTTGGTGACCCTAATGAAAGAGAGAGATTTGTTTTCTAGAATGTAGCCCCCAGGCTATGTCAAGGCATTTTGCAAGCTTGGCATCAAATTAGGCATGTCTTAGGATGAGAAGGTTTCAATGCTAGAGGATGAGTGGACATTCTCAGTAGTATACTAATACTGAGAGTCTGTGCTTCTGCTCATGTAATCATGGGGGCATGTTAAAGCTGACCTCAGCTGCACGGAGGGAATGCATAATATCATAAGCTTCCATTCTCATCTCCAAGTGAGCCAACACTATTTGTTTCTCCATGTCTTGCATTCTACCAGGGAGCGTTTCATTCCCTTCCTCCAAACACTGAAATATGCTCTGTCTGTTTGTTTCATAATTAAATCCCTGGATTCAGAAACAAAGACCCTGTGGCAGAAGAGAATGTGATGACTTGAAAGAAGCCACTGGGGCTGAGGCAGAGTGCACAAGGGCCAGAGTGGTACAAGGTGGGGCAATGAATGACAATACGTTAAATTGCTCAGCAGTCCTGGGGATTAAGCCATGCACGTCAAAGCTAAGAAAAGAACAACTGTGTGTCTTGGAGAATTGGACAGTGAAATGGTAATAATATCAAATAAAGAATATCAAATAGGGAAATTGAGCAGAGAATGCAAAGGAAAAAAGGCTTTATTGACTTCATGATTGTCATAGTGCAGCCATGTACCACATAATGAAGTTTCAGTCTATTATGGACAGAATATGTGACAATGGTACCATAAAATTGCGATGGAGCTGGATAATTCCTATCACCTAGTGATGTCATAGTTGTCATAACATTGTAGGACAACATGTTACTCACATGTTTGTGATGATGCTGGTATAAAGAAATCTATGGCTCTGCCAGTCAAATAAAAGTATACCCTGTACAATTATGTACAGTAAACAATACTTGATAATGATAATAAATGACTATGTTACTGGCTTATGATAGTCTACTATACTATAGTTTTATCCTTATTTTAGTGTGTGCTCTTTGTACTTATGAAAGAAATTTAGTTTAAAACAGTATGCCGTGTTATACCAGCAGCAGCCTCATAAGTCTCATGTTGCCTAGGTACAATAGGTTATACCATATAGACTAGGTGTGTAGAAGACTATACCATCTGGGTTTCTGTAGTACACTCTGTGGTGTTCACACAATCATGAAATTGCCTAATGATGCATTTCTCAGGATGTACCCTCATCGTTAAGTGATAAGGACATTTTAAGGCCTGGATGGATCTGGCAAGAGACGGCATTCCTTCTGCTGGTGGATCTATAGATGACTTCTCCTGCCTATAGTCGAGGCTGCAAGTGGGATTTGGGTACAGTGGTTGGTTTTCTGTCTGATCTGGTCCAATTTCCAGAGATGCTCGAGTATCGTATGCTGTCCTGGTCACTAGATATATCAAGGCGTTGATTCCTCATTGTCAAAGCTGGTCAGCTTTGTAGTTCCCCAAATGGAATATGTTGTAGGCAACTGAACAATCCTGGGAGATTTCAAAAGATTATGTAGGGGAAATGTGAAATCAGTTAAAAAATATGCTTGGTAAGAATAAAACGTGTATGATGGAGTAAATTTTAACTTGCTTTGTGCTAGTCAATAAGATAATCAGTTTCCTGAATTCACTATCTCAACTGATGTTTCTCTCCCACCCTGTTGTTACTGGCATTCACACTTGGTGAGGTGTGCAACTGCATTTCTTTGCTTCTACAATAAGCCTCCCAGAGGAGGAGAACCAAGGCCTGTTACTTTCACAACTCCCTAGACCACTGCGCATTGAGTTAGAATTTACATGATCCTTCCTGCAGGTCATTTGATTTCTGCCCTCTGTACTATAGGGCTCTGAATTGTGGTTGTACGAATGAAGGTAGCTTAGTCAGCCAGGATTCTGCCTCATTAAGCTAAATGACTCCTGAGAGTTATGCTATGGCCCTACCTAAAACTCTTCAATGGACAAGCCATGAAGATTACCAACAGATTTTGCCTGCATTATTCCTACCCTCTGCACTCTGCCCCAGCTGGTACCATTCTGACCCTTGCTTCCTCTATTTCAGTGCCAAAGGCTTCTTTCAAATCATCACAATCCCTTCTGCCACAGGGACTTTGCCCCTGAACCCAGTGTCTGAACTTCTCCTTCACTCTTCCTGCCCTCACTCCTTCTCACCTGGTTAGTTGCCACACACCTTCAGATCTCAGCACCATTATCACACCCAAGGGAAGCTTCCAATGTAAGTCAAGGCCTTCTGTAATTTATGGGGTAGCAATTATTACAGGTGTAATTTTACATTTATTTGTGTGATTCCTTAATTAATTTGTCTTCCACTCTATCCTGCAATATCCATGACAGCAGGGACTGGGTGACATGTTGGAGACACTCAATAATGGTGTTCAGAGGATAGGAAGGAAGGAAGGAAAGAAAGAAGGGATAGAGGGAATTAGAGAAGGAGGAAGGGAGAGAGGGAGGGGGAAAGGGAGGGACCAATGCAGGAATAGATATATGTGAATATAATTCATTCTAATTAGATACAAAGGTAAATTTTAGCAACTATAGGAAAAACAATTCTATATTCTAACTCAGAATTACTAAATTTCCTACCAATATTTAAGAGCATCCACCAAGCCCTAAGTACTGAGCTGCAGCCCTCATGGGCTTTGTTCCATTTAACCTGTATACCAGACCCATGAGTAAGTCCTATAATTAACCTAATTTTATAAATGAAAACCTTGGGGATTAGGGAGGCCAAGCAACAAGTCGGATGTCCCAGGAAGGAAATGAAGGAAAAGGTTTCAGACCCAGGGATGATTGACTCCATAGTGAAGGCTCATTAAGTCCCATGCCAGGAAATTCCAAATAAAGGGGAGTTAAGAGGCACTAGAAGACACAGGCAATTGCTTGTTGGCCTTTTGGCTAAGATGAAATGCAGGAGACATGGGAAGTTGGCATTTCTGGAATATGTCGAATAGCTTCCCTGAAGCTGATAGAACAAGCATTAAGGTACTTATCTTTCCATCTCAGTGAGACCAGGTGCCTGGGGAGGGGAAGATGAGAGGATCCCATGACAGGCACAGCAGCAACTTAGAAAGAGTCTCTGTTGACAAAGTCTAGTCAACAATCCTGAAAGAGTATCCCCCTTATAGAAATTTCACTTGGGACTAGTCAAAGTGAGATTTACTCTTTCAGAAAAGATAGACACTGCGTTAAACATGGAAGAACACTATAAGAAATGGATTCGAGATTTTGTGGTTGCTGAGCAGGAATTCAAATCAAGAAAAATTCACCTTCCCTGTAGCTATTTTTATGAGGTCTTCCTGGACCCTGAATCCTCTAAACCTTCACTCCTCTTCTTAAAATTAGGCTGTGAGAAATTGTGTGCATATTCAGTTCAGTGTTAAGTAATGGTGACTGGATTAGAATTCTGGAACCTAGATTCCAATTTCTGCTCCTTCAGTTAATGCTCTATAATGAAATTGGGCAAACCATTTATACACTTCCTATGGCAATCTGGAAAATTGATATGGGGAAGGATATTACCTGGCCTTTATGCATCAAAGCATGTTTGCAAACACAAATGAATTAAAGCAAACTGAACAGTCTCATAAGCCAAGACCTCAATCAGATGCCAGTTATTGTTGTTATTATTATAGTGAGGGTTCAACTCATCCTAGACCCACCAAAAGCAAGACAGTCTTTAGCATCACATACACCCAAAGGATGATAAGACACTGGGTCATTTTAACAATGATAGGAGCACTTTTCCACAGATGACAGGCTTATGAGTCACAAGGGAAAAAAATAATTTCTCCTGTTACAAGAAGTAACACCCACAGTCAGCTTGCATGTCTGACTGTCTTAAATCTTCTTGAACCAGAGTGCACATTTCATGCCTGAGGGACCGTAGAGAGCCAGGGGTTCTAATAAGCCAAACTTCTGGTTAACCATGTGAGTGCACAATTCTTACTCTTGGAAATCATACCAAATATAAGTACCGTTTGTTGCATAACCAGTATATTAGAAAGGACTTTCTTGACTATTTCGCTGCTGAGCACCAATCCTAAAGTTGTAGAAAGTATAGTAGTTTGAACTTCAACACTATTGATGACAGGGCTATACTCAGAATGCACTTGTTCTTTCTCGACTTCATTTGTGAAACTGCAATCACACAACAATGTTGGAAGAATTTTACAATGAACATCTGTATAGCCATCACCTAAATTTCAACTTGAACATTTTGGTAAACTTGTTTATTTCACAGTTCTCCATCTACTTAGCTCTCTATCCATTAATCCCTCTTATTCATTAATGTACTGCAAAGTAAATTTCCAGAGTGTTACTTTTAAAAATAAACCTCAGATTATGCAAACAACATAGCGTATTTCTCCTCTTCAGTAAAGAATTGGTGAAAATTTTGTAACAGCTTCATCTTCTAGGGAATTTTGCTATGTTAAGGGAATATAACATAGGGAACTTTCCACAAAATAAAATATTAAATCAAAACACAATAAACCTTCTCATGCATACACTTATCTTTCATTATTTTTTCTGTATCCTTGGGCACATCTTATTCTCATCCTTCTCTTTCATTGCACAACGTTTATTAAGCACCTACCATGTGTCGAACATTGGGCTAAGTGGTGTGAACAAGAAAGGCAGGAGCATGGTCTTTTGGCACTTACAATCTCCTGGAGAAGACAGTCAATAAACAAGTAAATGGAAGAAAAATCAAGATGATCATATATAAAGAAAATAGGGTGTTAGGAGAGAGATTGATAAGTAGGGGACTAGTTTAGATAAGGAGGTCAGGGAAAGACGGATACGAGAAGAAGTTGAAGGAGCCTGCCGTGAGATCCTGAAGAGCAGGATCATCAGGAGCAAGTGCAAAGGCCCTGAGCCAGGAATGAGCTCCTGTTCAAAGAATAGAGCAGAGCATCTGCAGGACTGTGGGATAGTGTGCTAGGTCTTGCCCTCACTGTCGCTTCAACTTCATTTCTTCAGGGTATGGTTCACCTTGGCTTTTCAGCAGCATTCAAAAACAATTTTCTATTATTTCTATGAGCCTAGTTTTCTCTAAGAAGTCTTCCCTGATTTAACCGACCAGGTTAATTCTCCTTTTATAAGCTGTTGTGCCCTGTGCACATCACTTATACAACTTATTTCTGCCTGCACACCCACTAGACTGAAAACTCCATGAGATGAGTATGTAACCACATACTCCATTTTATCACCAGCCTTAGTCCACTGTGGCACATTGACTTGGTGTTCAATAAATATTTTGATGACTACTTAGATAATTACTTGATTAGAGCAATGCCAGGTAACCTGGAAAGTGAAATTGGGGTTTAAGTTGAAAACATCTAAAATGCCAGACTAGAAATAAAAGGCTTATTAGGTAGATTGCATGGGTCCACAGAGAATCTTTGAGCTGTAGAGCAGCGCAATTGGAATTGGGCTCTGGAAGGACCCTTCTTGAAGCCACACAAAGGGAAGACTGGGAAAGTGAGTGGCATGGAGTTGAGGACACCAGAGTTGACTATTGCAACAACCTGCATGAGAGAGAAAAGAAACCTGAGTTCAGCTGGCTGTACAAATATGAAACAGAAATGAATAAATGGAGACATGTTGTAGAGGCTGGGTCCATGAACACAGTAAGTAATTAAACATGGGGGAAACCTAAAGACAAACCAAAGTTTGGGTTGTTGGTGGTGACATTAATCAGCGGAGGAAAAGTAGAAGACAGAGCAAATGTGAAGGGTTGCTTTTAAATGTCTTGAGTTTACAGTATTGAAAAAAGCCTAAGTGGAGTTGTCTAGCAGGTAATTGGAGAAAATGCCCTTCTGGATCTTGGAAGGGAAATAAGGATAAGAGATACCTGCTCAGAAATACTCTCCAGAGAAGTCATCAAGGAAAAGAGTAGAGGGAGGCATTTGATTTGACCGAGAATCTTAAGGATATGTTCAATGTAGATTTAGGGGGAGAAAAATGAGCCAGCAAAAATTAATCAGATTAGCTGGGTCCTAGCAGGAAACAAGAGAATGTATGAGACAGAAAATGAGAGAGGATAAAGGTTAGAGAGTGACTAATGAACAGTCAAATACCAAGAGAAGTCATTATAGAGAAAAGCACACTTGACTTCATTTAACTTTGTTCAGTTTGCCAAAGTTGAGTTGGGTTCATCTGAAGAAGGACCTAAACATCCAGGCAGAAGAATGTGTACTTGAACATGTTGCCATCATGTTCTAAAAGTATTATTTTGCTAATGTTTGAAAGTGTGGCACCATTTAAAAAAAAGAGATAAAGATTTTATATTTGTATTCTACCAAAAATTTTTTTGTAATGTCACAAGCATAAAATTAGAATGTTTATATGAAACATAAGTGGAAATGGAATAGGATGCTTATCCACCAAGATGACCCACCCAGGAACTATGGTTTACCCAAACCTCATTCAGCTATAGTGAAAGATGGGGGATCAATATCTTAGCATATCAGGATGTCCCAGCACACAGGTTGGAAAATTCTGGTCCACATCACCTCAGGGGACATGGCTGGATTTTACTGCTTTCCAACAGGCAGAGATACTAGTC